GCCCCGCAGCGGGAACAGGCGCCGGGACGCGGGGGCCTCACGGCCGGGGCCAGCGACAGCCGCTCGGCCGAGTGCACCAGGTCCAGCACCGCCGACGGGCGCGCCGCCTCCAGCCGCTTGAGCAGATCGCGCGCGTGTCCGCGGAAGGCCTCGGGCGCGTACACGCAGTCCTCGGAAAAGTAGCGCAAGCGCCGGAAGTGCGCGTACAGCACCACCTCCTTCTGCGACGCCAGCTGCAGCGGCCGGCAGCGCGGCAGCGCGCACCCCTCGCCCCCCGAGCCCAGGCCCCCGCCGCGGGCCAGTCGCCCCGCGTCGCCGCGCAGGAAGTTCATGAGCACCGTCTCCGCCATGTCGTCCGCGTTGTGACCTGAGGGGGAGAGTGGGGTGAGGGGCTGAGACCCAGGCAGGGAGACCCCGGGACCAAGGAGACCCCAGGACCCAGAGAGACCCCGGGACCCAGGGAGACGCCGGGACCCAGGGAAACCCCGGGACCAGAGAGACCCCAAAACCAGAGAGACCCCGGGAGCGGAGAGACCCCGGGACCCAAGGAGACCCCGGGACCCGAGAGACCCCAAAACCCAGGGAGACCCCGGGACCAGGGAGACCCCGGGACCCAAAAAGACCCCGGGACCAGAGAGACCCCAAAACCCAGGGAGACCCCAGGACCCAAGGAGACCCCAAAACCCAGGGAGACCTCAAAACCCAGGGAGATCGCAGGACCAGAGAGACCCCGGGACCCAGGAAGATCCCGGGACCCGGGGAGACCCCTGGACCGCAGGGAGACCTCAGGACCCAGAGAGACCCAGGACCCAGGGAGTCCCCAAGACCCAGAGAGACCCCAGGACCAGGGAGACCCCGGGACCAGGGAGACCCCAGGACCAGAGAAGCGCGTGGAAGTGGGGATCTCAGGACCCAGAGAGAGGGGAGAAAGGGAGTAAGACCCGGAGAGCGAAGAAGGGGCCTGGAGACCCCCATTCAGTAAGAGTAGGGCAGTGGGGGTGGGCCATGGAGATCTGCATCCTGTCCCTAGAGCAGCCAGGACTCAGAAGGCAGACAATAAGAATGGCACTAAAAACATGCTTGTGGAGGGTCTGGAGACGTGGCTCAGCCAAGAGCACCAGCTGCCCTTGTAGAAGTCCGGGTTCGATTCCCAGCACCCACGTGGCAGCTAACAACCGGCCAGAACTCCAGTTCCAGGGGATCCGACGCCCTCTTCTAGCCTTCACAGGCATTGCACACACGGGTGTACTTGACACGTACAGGCAGCACACTCGTACACAGGAAATAAAGATGAGTTTTTTAAAAGATGGCAGGAGAGAAGCCCGCCAAGCCCACCCCACTCCACTTCCCCACCAGGCTCCAGTAGCAAAACGGACCATGCGCACGTCCTCCGGCTCCTCCAGGCTGTCCTTTCCCATGCCCCCCTCCCCCGCTGTCCTCCCACGCCCCGGCTGTCCTTACCCCCACCCCCGCAGTCCTCCCACGCCCCCAGCTGTCCTCCCCCCAACCCGCACTCCTTTCCCACGCCCCGCGCTCACCAGTCACTATGTGCGTGGCTCCCACCAGGCGCGCGCCCTCTTCCAGCGCGCGGCGCCGCAGCACCCCGCAGAAGGTGCAGCAGTTGCGGCTGCGGCCAGAGCCAGCCGTGCTGCGGGCCACGGCGTCCATCGTCCAGCCCCCGAAGAGGTCGGCGTAAGCCACGACGGTGAGCGGTAGCCCCCAGCGCTCTGCCTGGCTGCGCACGGCCGCCAACGCCGCGTCCCGGTAGCCGCCGATGCCCTCGTCCACCGCTACCAGCTGCAACGCGATGCCCAGGCGCGGCGCGAGCGCGCGCAGCACGTGCGCCAACACGGTGGAGTCCTTGCCGCCCGAGGCGCCCACGGCCACTACGGCCCCGGGCGGCAGCAGGCGGCCCGCGAGCACCGTGCGCAGCACCTCGGCCTCGAAGGCGGCGCAGAAGCAGGAGCCGCACAGAGCCTGTCCAGAGCGCGGCCGGCGTAGGGCGGCGCGGGCCACACCGCAGGAGGCGCAGGTCGGGGCTGGCATCGCGAGGCCGGGGTGGGAGAGACGCGGGTCAGCGAGACGTGTGGGTTACCCTGGACGTGTGCACTGCGGAGAGAGGAGAGGGTCACCGGAACGTGTGCACTGCGGAGGAGAGAGGAAAGGGTCACCCGGACGTGTGCACTGCGGAGGAGAGAGGAGAGGCTCCGCTGGGATGTGTGTAGTGTGGGGAGGCTGCCGAGATGGCGGCCTGAAGGGAGTGGCCCTTGCACCGTGTGCACACAGGAAGGGCGCCCCTCTGCAGGAGGCGCTTCTTCACCATACACCCAAGGAGTTGATTATGGGGTCACAGAGGAAGAGGGGTGCATTCAGGGGGTGCACAGACTTAAATTATAAGTCCGGTCCAGAGAGTGACCTGGTGCCTTTAAGGGCCTATTGCACAGCATCCAGGGAGACCACTCTTGTTAAATCCCTGACCAGAAGGACCTGGGTCTCCAGGGCAACTCAGAGGTTGGGATGAAGCGGTCCCAGAAACTCTGAGGACAGAGGGTTGCAGCTGTTTGGATTGGGAGAGGAGAGGGTCACCAGGACCTGTATACTACAGCCTCTAGGCCTGGACTCAACCATAATTCCATACACACAGGCTCATAGGGCAATGGGTCAACCCATCCTTGGCCCTTTCCATCTCCTTTCCTGCTTCCTCTCTCCTCCTCCAGCCAAGCTTCTAACCCCCCTCCTTGGTCCTGTCTGTCTCCTGAGCCCATAAAAACTGGGCTTGGTGCCCTCCTCAAGCCACCGTCATCTCCAACCTGAACCGTAGCCATCCCGAACCACTGCAGAAACCTCTTTCCATTCAGAGCAGCCCAGGCTGTTCCTAGGATGGCAGTTACCTTGTGACTACGTGTGTACTGTGTGTAACTCTGGAACACGGCCCTGCAGACATGTAACCAGCATCTCTACCCCACCCCAAATCCCTGATTCCTTTAACCACATGATGTTCTCTTGCCATGAAGGGGGGCGGTGCAATACCCCTAATCTACCCTCAGACCTCACACCCAGATCCCCCAAAATGAACACAGCAAATCCTGTTGGCAGCTTCAACACAGATTCGGAAGCGGGACAGTCTCACCGGCTCCATGGCCAACATCATAATTTGGGCCATCTCTCCCCAGAGAATTGTAGGAGGCTCCCCACTTGTCTCCCTGCCTCAACCTCCCCTCCCTTACATGTGCTCTTCTACACACAACAGCCAGCCAGTCACTTTGTCCAGAGAGCTCACACTGTCACCAAGCCCAGCAAGGTGCCCTTGGTGACTCACCTGCCACGGCCCATCCACCATGACTGAGTATCACCCCCTGAAATTTTTTCTCCCCCAGCTTTTGACATTTCCTTTTCTCTCCCCTGGCCTCCTTCATCTCCACAAGCCCTGCCCAGCACCCCTCTGAATCTTCAGACTCAGATGTCCCTCCAGGCTCAACCCCCAAATTACCCACTGAGGATCCAGCCTGGAGCATCTTTCAGGTGCCCTTGAACCCGTCTGTCCCTTCTGCCCAGCTTAACTCTGTCTCCAGAGTGCAGTCACCATCTTCTACCCAGCACTTCTGCAGAGAAGGATGTCAAATCACTCAGGGTCCTAAGTCACCTGGTCCTATGGGGGGGTCAGTCCCATCCTGAGGGAGGGAGACCCTGGCAGCCCATGACGTCTTCAAGTAGTTTTAGATTTGTTTGGTTTGGTTTGAGACGGGGTTTCACTATGTAGCTCTGGCTGGAACAGGCTATGTAGACCAGGCTGGCCTAAACCAGGGAAGCGAGTAGTTTGGGGATGGGATCTGATCTCATCCCACAGGTTTTAAGAGGATTCCTCTGACTGCAAGGAAGAACTTAAGGGCACAGGCAGGAAGCCAGGGAGACCATGGCGGTAGTCTTGGGCTGATGGAGTGAACCAGGCCTATGCTCAGTACATACTGGGATGATAGTAAAGCAAGAATTGTGAAGACTTGTGTCCTGACAGGTTGCAAACCCCAGGGGTGCCTCTGGGTTGCTGCCTTAAGGGCTAGAGGGATAATAGAGGATGGGTCTCCAGGGCCTACTCGGCTGGATCCAAGAGGAAGCAACCGGTCTATCCAGACCCTGTAAACAGGCGGCCTAGTAAGAGGCCGCTAGAAAGGGATCCTGGCCAGAAGGCGTCTGGACATGCATGAGTTGGAAGTCACAGACACCCCCTAGAGACACCCTCAACCCTCCCCGGGGTCCCACAACCCAGACCCGGCCCGACCCGCTGCAAGAAGACTCACCCTGACCACCGGGCGCACTCCACCGCCAGCACGCGGAAGCCAGGCGCGGAAACTGCTACAAGACTACAACTCCCACAAGGCCTTGGGGGCTGCCCCGCCTATAGCTTCCAGAATGCAACAGCCCTGGCAGGGAGCCTGTCACTCTCTCGGGGCTTCTTGACCTACAACTCCCAGAAGCCCTTAAGGACACAGCTTTGCTGTTACTGTGGCAACGCATGGTGCAAAGGCGGGATGCTTGAAATCGGAAGTGGTTGCGGTCTAATTTCTAGTTTTTGTGGGAGAATTATAAGCTTCAGGGAAGCGGAAGGAGCCCAAGGAGTCACACCGCTAAGCACGCGGTTGTAATATACATTATGTTAGTAAACTGCTGTGTGCTGTTTGAATTCACTGAGCAGTGGCGTTTCAGGTGGGGTTCTCCCCCCCTCCCCCGTTTCACATCCATGCATGCATGATGGTCTTGGAATGTCCTCTGAGATCCCTTGTCTGGATCAGGATGACCCACCTGACAGGGTAAAGAAAACATCAAAACAGCCCAGGAGTGGAAATAACACTCTTGATCTAGGAATGTAAATGGTCAGAATTCAATCACTGTGTCCCTGAACACAGCTGGGGGATGAATAATTTCCAGGCAACTTCCCAAAGCTGAAGACTCAGCTGCTGTTTAGTAGCCAGTGCTCTTGCAGAGGATTCGGGTTCAGTTCCCAGCATCTACATGGAGGCTAACAACCATCTGTAACTCCAGGCCCAGAGGATCTGACACCTTCCTCTGACCTCCTAGGCATTGCATGACACAGATGCATTTACATACATTTCATGCAGGCAATACACTCATACACATAAAATAAAAAATAATTTTAAAAAAATTGGTCTTTTTGAGACAGGGTCTCTCTGTAGTCCCAGGGGCCTGAAACTTGCTATGTAGACCAGGCTGGCCTCCAACTCACAGAGATTCGCCTGCCTCTGCCTCTCGGGTTCTGGGATTAAAGGCGTGTGCCACCACTCCCGGCTCATAATAAAAAGTTTTTAAGAAGAAAAGAATGCGTTTACAAAGACTCACTGGGGTAAGTGCAGAGGTCTGCAGACAAACCAAAGACAAAGTGGGTGGAGAGGCCCTGGAGCTGCCCCCGCCCTCCCTCGGAACCCGGACAGCTCTACAGGTCAGGGTCAGCTCCTGCTGGGGTAACATCAGGCTCTGCAGAGTCAGTTCCCTTCCCAGGTCAGACAGTTCTGGGTACACTTGGTCTGTCATGAGGTAACAATAAAGCCCTGCCCACTGTCTACTACCCTCTTGCTGCACAGATGTTGGCCTGGAGGTTTCCAGGGCCCAGCAGGAAGCCCTCAGTCCTCGTCAGAGAGCTGCAGACCCTCCAGCTCATGCTGTGGTCCCTGGGCCAGCTGCCACAGTTCACTAGGGTCCAGCCCCATCCCTGTGCCTTCATCCTCTGAACTCCGGTACCCTCGTCCTCTTTCTCTTCCTCCTGGACTCCCTGCTGAGCTCTCGGGAGCCTAGGTACCCCTTTCTCTGAGAAGTCTGTACTATCCTCTTCAGCACTGTCCAACTCAAACAGGTCTTTAAACTCCTACCTGTTGGGCTGGAGAGATAGCTTAGTGATTAAGAGCACTGGCTGTACTTGCAGAAGACCCGGGTTTGAATCACATGGCTGCTAACAACCATCTGTAAGTCCAGTTGGGAGGAGAACCCATGCCCTCTTACGTCCATGTGCATTGCACGATATGGGTGCACTTACATACATGCAGGCAGTACACTCATACATAGCACACACCTTTAATCCCAGCACTCGGGAGGCAGAGGCAGGCAGATTTCTGTGAGTTAGAGGCCAGCCTGGTCTACAAAGTGAGTTCCAGGGCAGCTGGGACTACAGGAAGATCCTGTCTCAAAAAGGCCAAATAATAATAATAACAATATTAATAATGATAATAATAAATATAAATAAAAAATTTTAAATTCCTTCCTATGTTCCATTTTCCTCCTTTTTTTTGCTTTTTATTTTAGTTTTATGTATATATGTGTATTGCCTGCATATATGTAAGTGCACTGGTGTCATGCAGTGCTCATGGAGGTCAGATGGGGCATCAGTTTCCTTGAAACTGAATTACAGAAGGTTACTAGCCCCCATGTGGACCCTGGGATTTGAACCCAGGTCCTCTGCAATAGCAGCCAGTGCTCTTAACCACCTTGAACTTTACCTAAAGGGTGTGCTTCTGAGCCTAAGGACCAGCTCTCTTAGCTGAAGGACAGAGACCCTGAGTGCTGCAAGTTTCTGCTGGAGAATGGTCAGCGTCTGCTGTTCTTCAGTGACTCAGACAGCTCTGAGGGAGAGGAGCAGTTCCACTCCCTGGCAGACATGCTGCGGAAGCAGGTGGGGGGGAGGGGGAGGGGGAGGAGGAGGAGGAGGAGGAGGAGGACAATGGAGGAGAGGAAGAGGACCGAGCTTGTTATTGTGACCCTCACCAAGTTGGGGAAATGGAAGCAGGGTAAGGCAGCACCTTGTTCCTCAGCTGTTCCATGACGTCATGCAGGCATTCCAAGCAGCTGTGGCCACCACCCAAGGAGAACAAGAGGCTGCTGAGGCTTGCAGATTACAGGTCACAGAGTGCTGTGTTCAATGCACTGGTCACCTTCTGCATTAGAGACCTCTTTGGCTGTCTTCAGAAGCTGCTATTTGGAAAGGCACTCAGCATCAGGATGCTGCTGAGGTCCGGCAGCCCTCTCTCCGGGAAGCTCCATGTGGATGTCAAGGTATGGCTAAGTGCAGTCATGCAGCTTGGTGCCTTACTACCTACTTGACCTTTCCCAAGCAGTGCCACATGCTGCTCTAGAGGATGGTGGGTCTGTGGAGAATGAATGAAGAGTCCCTATGGGTCTTGGCCTTCCTGGTACTTATCAGACTCTGCCAACACAAGGATATTGTCTTTGGTCCCATCCTGAAGCAAATGTACATCATGTACGTGAGAAATTGCAAGTTCACCTCTCCTAGTATCCTGCCCCCCCCCCATACACTTCATGCAGCGAGCACTGACCAAACTGCTTGCCTTGAACCCCAGGGTCTCCTACCAACATGCCTTCCTTTACATCCGCCATCTTGCCATCCACCTGCGTAATGCCATGACCTGGTCTGCTCCCACCTCCTGGGGCTCCGAGTCTGCTTTTCTCCAGGGAGTCTTCCAGTGTCAGATGGGGACTGAGTCAAAGCCTGAGGCCAAAAACTTGCTCACTGTCAGCATGCCAGGTGCCTCCTGGAGCACATGCCACCACCGTCAATAAAATACTTTTTTTTAATGCCACTGGAAGGAATGGATGATTGCAAACCTCATCCAGGAGAAGATGGTCTGTCTGGGACCCTTGTTAACTGTCAGCTGAGTGTTTTCATTCCTGGAGTTTCCATAGTCAGTCTTTGCTGGGTGGCGTGTCTGATCTGATGCTTCCCCTGTCAGCATGCCACTCTATGTTTTATGCTTTCCCTTACGCTTGCTGTTTACTTAACAAACTCACTCATCTGAAACCAAAAGCTATGGTGGATCATTGTCCAAACCAAACATTTCTCCACCACTGAGCAACACCCCAGCCCCTCACTGGGGGACTCTAGGCAGGGGCTCTGCCACTGAGCCACACCCCAGCCCCTCACTGGGGGACTCTAGGCAGGGGCTCTGCCGCTGAGCCACACCCCAGCCCCTCACTGGGGGACTCTAGGCAGGGGCTCTGCCACTGAGCTACACCCCAGCCCCTCACTGGGGGATCCTAGGCAGGGGCTCTAGCACTGAGAACACCCCAACCTTCACTGGGAGATTCTAGGAAGGGGTGCTACCAGGGAACCATGCCCACAGCCCCTAGTTTTTCTAATAACTTTCATCAGCTCTCCCATAGTGCTCCAAGCTGTGTTGTTTTCTTTCTTGTAGAGAAAGCTGTGTGCCTAGGGAAACCCCAAACCTTGGGCTTTACCTGGCTGGATGTCACTGCTTCACTTCAGCTCAGTTCCTTGCTGAGAGTAGGGTGCATCCCTGGCATGACAAACACTACACACTGCGTCTGATTTCTATGTGTTCTGTATCACATTAAGTCTGGAACACCTTTTTATCTCTTGAGGTTGGTTTGTCTGTGAGAGAGAAAGGATAGAAAGTGGTTTTATCAAATGCCCAACATTTGATAAAATGATTATTTCATTTTAAATATTTACTTACTTTTATTTTATGTGTATGAGTGTATTGCCTGCATGTGTGTAAGGGCACCTGTGTTATGCAATGCCCACAAAGGTCAGAAGAGGGCATCGGATCCCCTGCAACTGAAGTTGTCAGCCACCATGTGGGTGCTGGGAACTGAATCTGGGTCCTCTGCAAGAGCAGTTAGTGCTCTAACCACTGAGCAATCTGTCCAGCCCCCTAGGTGTCATCTCTTAAATCTTCCATCACCTGTCTCATTTCTGCACTGGAGACCAAGTTTCTGGTGTGTGGACTCTTGGGCATGAAACCACATGCAAAGTGGTAATGTCTCAGTGGGGGCTGACTAGGGACTTGTTTCTAGTGAGTAGAACACAGTAGGACTGGTTCTACAATGTGGATTACTACCAAGACCCTACAATAAAAGACTGACTGTGGTCCTAAGAGACAGCTCAGCCAGTTGGAGGAGCTTGCCACCAAGCTGTTGGGGAACCCTGCTGTTAAGGTTGGCTCCTTTCTCAGCAGGGGCTTCCTGCTTGACTTACCTAGAAAGTGCCTCCAAGCACGGATGCTTGGCCTTATTTGGAACATGACCTTTGGCATAGTTACCTGCAATAAAACTACCCCCAGGTTTTTTCTATATGATAATTAGGCATTGCCACATAGTGGATGCTAGGATCCTACTACCACAGGTATATAAAGCATACTATGAGTACCTATCAGCTGAAGCATTGGCTGCTGCCTCCACACTATATTTTCCCTAACCCCCACTGAATAAATGGAGGTGTATTACCGAATCTGACTCCCCGGAAGGGCTTTCTTCCGTCAGTGCTCCCTGGCCATCCTGACCCCGTTCGTCACTTCTGCTCCCTTTGCCCTCATGGACCAGTGGCCAACGACCCACG